ATATTTGGTTTACTTTGGATTGGTTAAAATGGCATGATTATAAGGCCAAATAACTGGCTTGTGTTGAAAATTTATTAAATTGCTTATTTTACTTGTTGGGAGTATAAGGATGGACAAATGTGATTTAGTTTACTTGTTGAGAGTATAAGGATAGACAAATGTGATTTAGCCTAATGGCATGTGGGAGGTAAAAATTTATCTGAAATGTTAATTATAAAATATTTTATATTGAAATTATTGATATAAAAATGTGTTGGGTGGCTGTAACCCAACTATGGTTGAGTTAAATTATTTAAAAAAAAAAATTTTGGTGTGTTACACTATCCTTGTCAACATTGGCATTCTTGTCCCGGTTGTCACGTTTGGTCTGGTCCCTGTCGACGCTGGTGGTCTAGTCCCAATTGACACTGGCAATCCGATCTCGATGGAAGTCTATTGGAGGTAGTGATGTCAAAATCAAGAAGAAAACAAAGTCGACAAACGAGCACAAAAAAACATAAAAGCTTTCATAAAAGTTTGAAATAATAAGAGTTTAGCAAGGATTTAAAATTATAAAGGAATTGAGTTAAGATTTATCCAAATCACCCACACATTTTTAATTATTTAAATAATGAATTTAACTCAAATTTAAATTTAAATAAAAATCAAAATTCAAGTCCATGCATCTAAACATAACATTAACATTTTCTTTTTTGTAAAAAACATAACACTTTGATACTTTAATAATTTAACAATGGGACTAAATCAAGGGTGAACTTTTTTATCAGGCTGAGTTCTTTGGAGTAATCTTCGCTGGATACTATCTCTTCGTTTTATTTTCTTTTTTGTTCTCTTCAAATTGATGCTACTCAACGCGATTAGCTGAAATGTCCTCTCTCTTGCTTCATCTTTATCTTAAACTGTATCAACAAATTAATTCAATTTACTTGACTAAATTCATTCATAACACCAAAACATTATTCGTTTCGTCACACAATCAAACCATTATTGGCCAGCTGGATTATTTTAATTTTTAATCATATCACGCTTGAACTAATTGAATATTAACTTAAAATATTGACTGAAAATTATTTTATTCCAAATGCCTATGTATATAGACATCTAACAGATGAGTTGTTTAATTATGACCGTGGCAAAGAGATAAGACGAGATTTTTATGACGAGAAAACAAATATTTCAGTCATTTTCTGGCCCTCTAAGAAAAGAAGCAGGCCCTCTAAATAATTAATTATTGACTGCAATAGTGCATTCATCATGCCATAATTTTATTTCCTGTTTACCATATGCCTAATCAAGCAAACTCTAAATATATAAACAATTAGATTCCCACATCGTTTCCATAGGAAAAACGTTTTATTTTTCTTGCTGGGGAAAAGAATGTTATATTAAAACAACAAAAACTTGTGGAGAATGTGCACTGAGACGTGGAGCTAAAGTCCATGGCGGCCCATTCACACTAGCTCATGATATCATATAGAAGAAATTAAATGTTCGGAAACAAAAGATAAGACGAATTAAAAAAGAAGCAACTGACTTTTACTGAGAAAGCTAAGCTGGACACGTGAAGCGGATATCACTGATAAAAAAAACAAAACAAAACAAAACAAAATCGAAAACACGTGTCGTGGATATTGGGAACTCCGTTCAATTACAGCTGAAAAGCCCAACAATGTGTTGGTGCCACAATCTAATTTTGATCCCAAGTCCAAAATTTGGTCAAAATAATAATTTTACTCCAACCTCACATGAGTTTTATTGAAGAAAGATGGTTGTTTATTATAAAAAGGAATTCACTGTTTGAGAAATGGTAGAGTAGAGAAAGTTATGAGAAAAATTATAATTAGTAGCCCTAAAAAAAAACATGAAACCATTGAAAAATTGTTACTTTGTACCTATAAAAAAAAAAACAAAAAGTTACCACACACGTACAAATTTTTTCAACTCGACACACATCTACACATAATTTCTCCAAATACTCCAACAATTAGTGGCGAAGTTAGAATCTTTAACCAAGAGGGCATGATATTATTTAAACATTAAAAAATTAATTTTAATTATATATAAAATTTTTATATATAAATTATATATATCTTGTTATGATCTTGAGTTTGATAGTAATTTTTTAAAATTTATTTTAATTCATTGTTGTACAAATTTGATTTATTGTTTAAAGATTATTCCTCCTCTAAGCTTTAATGACAATTTCACTTTAATATAAACCATATTTTAACATACATATAGAGTATCTTTAATATTTAACTAATTAAAAAGTAAAAAAATACAAATTTATAATGGTATTTAAACAACAGACAATATAAAAAATGTCTGCTTTTTTTTTCAAAATTTTGCAAACATTACAAATATAATATTTAACAAAACTCCTTCAATTTCCTCAATTTCCCATCAATCAGCCCACGTAGCGCCTTGCCTATAGCCTTCCATATCTCTCTCTCTCTCTCTCTCTCTCACACACACACACACAAAGCAGAAGCTAGATATTAGAGGGTGCAAAATTAGAACACTAGGGAGAGAAATACACAAAGTTAATACAATAGATTTTATGTCTAAAATTCCAGAGGGTGCATCTGCCCACCCTAAAATACAAGTAGCTCCGTGCCAGTGTTAACAACTCAAACTTTAAAATTTACTTCGCTCGGCGTGACTTCTTTGACCTTTAGCAAATTTGACAAATAGAGCATTGAAGTTTTCTAATAATTAGTAGAACGTCAGCTTTTAGTTGAATAATAGTAACAATGGGCTAACACTTTTTTTTTTTGTGTTTTTTATCTTATATTTTGTTGTAATTTTTTTTATAATTATCAATATCATGGCCGCTTTTATTATGTAAGTTTCACATGTTTTTTTATCTTTATTTTTTTATTTTCTTTACTTTTAAGCACTTATATTTAAAAAAATTGTGGTAAAAGATTTTGGGAACTTATTATTTTATCAATAAGTTAGGTAAATCACATCTTTTAACGACACACTCTCCTTCAAAAAAAAAAAAAAGGAAACAGAATGATAACAAACTAAGCTATATATTATCACAGTTGGCATATATAACAACTTATTAACAATCTAATACAAATTAAAGAACACGAAACACTACAGTACCTATATGATTAGCATGTGAGATTATACTTTGTCTTCTGATGTAATTCAAATAATGTAATGTAGGAGATATCTTGAGTCATTGGTTAACTTAATTATTTTGTGTTCAGAAGACAAATTGACTCTCTAATGTCATATTAAATAAAGATCTTAAATTCACATTATGCGTTTATGTCAACATCAAAAGCAATAGCTGAAGGACAGGTTGAAGGCTAAAAATTTGATGAACCAATTTATTCAGAATTCATAGGCCCTATTAAAGACTCTCCAGGTTAGATGATATTTAACTATGTGTGTAGGTTAATAGTTTGATTTTTTAAAAACATGGTGCTCACATTAGTTAACAAATTATTCTCCTATGTTAATCAAAGGCTGCCAGACTACTTGGATGATGATGGTGACCCTAAATACAATTGTAATCATTGTGGAGCCAGAATGCGGTTTGCAGAACGCTTAAAAATTACATTAAGAAAACTTGCTCCTATCTTCCCAATGTATTATAGTCATGGAAAGATTCAAGTGCCAAATTTAGAAGACCCACCTCACTGTCTATAATATATCGTTTTATTATTAAATGAAACAAAATTAAATGCATAACTTATCATATTTTAAGTTATGAATGAAAAACATATGAAATTATTATAATTTAATTGAATTTACATCTGCAAAATATTTTTGTCAATCTTTTCATTACAAATTCAATGTTCAATTTCTATAATTTTATTTTCTTTAAAAAATTAATTACTTTAAAAACAATCAAGAAGATAGTTTCACTTTGTAAAAGAAGACCTAAGTTATCTTTTTATTGATGAGCAATAAAAAATTGATACTCTCTCTGTTCAACAATATAAAGCATTTTTTGAGGAGTTGTATGATAAAAAATGTAAGGCATTTTTAGTCTTTTAAAATGTAATCATTACCTTTTTTTAAAAGTGTCTCTATTGATAATAATTTTATATTTATTGTAGGGTGTTTAATAAGGATAAATATAAAAAGATAGGATTAGTTGAAAAGTAGGTAACTACTTTATTGAGGTGAGATTCGATTAAAAATATTTTACATTTTTAAACAAAGGAAATAAATGAAAGTCTTTTAATTCATGTATATTTTCGTTGATCATTTTGAATAAAAAATCTTATTCAACGATATCTCAAAGCATTCACTTCATTTTTTTTCGCTTAATTTTAAAATTTACGCACATGATTAAATCTAGTTATATTATATTGAAATTAAACGAAGTGAGATATGCACATGGAGTTACACCATGACATTCAGTAAAAAAGAGACCACATGGTTAAAGGCGCATTTTTAGCGAACCAAGTAGCCAAATCTTTTTCTCCTACTTATAAAATCCAGAATGCATGATTGGCTCAGGAGCTAGGCTCAATTATTTCATAACTAACTACTACTTAATTTGTTAATCAGCACTTTGTCTCTTAATGTATACTCTTAATATTTAAGGACATCAATAATATTATAAAATATTTTTAATTAAATCATACTTCTAATGAATTAATCAATTATATCTAAAATTACACATTCTTTCCATTCATGTTTACCCTATTTAAGAAGTTTAAATTAAAATTTTTTATTAATTATAAAGATGTTTTTTGAAAAACTTAATTAATTGCATATGAAAACGCCTCATATTTTTTAATATCTTACCTTAAAAAGCCTGCTATTTTGTAACGAAGGTGGTCACCACTGCCTTCATTTATACATCTTGTCCACTAGCTATTATTAATTTTCGACTAACGCACGTGTTAAATTTCCGTAATTTTTTGGATCGACTGGATTAATTTAATATTTAAAAAGGGTCACTCTGGCATGTATACAAGAACTCGTGATCAGAATCAGACCAAGTGTTTTCAAACCAGAACGAGCAGCGAGAGGTGAGAAGATTTGAGTTAAAAAAAAAAAGGGCCAAACAATGTCTTCTTCATCGTCAGAGTCCAATCAGCTCCCAGTGAAACCAATTCCGGGAACCTATGGCCCGCCGTTCTTCGGAGCCATCGCAGACCGACGCGACTTCTTCTACAACCTTGGCCGAGAAAAGTTCTTCACTTCCAAAATCGAAAAATATCAATCCACGGTGTTCCGAACCAACATGCCCCCGGGTCCGTTCATCGCTTCCGACGCCAGGGTAGTCGCCGTCCTTGACGCCGCCAGCTTCCCCGTCCTCTTTGACGTCTCCAAGGTGGAGAAGCGCGACCTCTTCACCGGAACCTACATGCCGTCCACCGACCTCACCGGCGGCTACCGTGTCTGCTCCTACCTTGACCCCTCCGAGCCCAAGCACGCCCTCATTAAGCGCTTCCTTTTCTCCCTCCTCGCCGCCCGTCACGACAAGGTATGCGTGGCGGGAAAATAGGTTCATGAAATCAAAAGCCATATAATCTTATTGAAACAATTATATAATATATATCACCAAATATATAATTGGTCGTCGCTTTCATTTTTAGGTACTGCCACTGCATAAAAGCTCCTTGTCCAAGATTTTTCTGCAACTGGAACAAGATATCTCTGCTAAAGGCGAAGCAGACTTCAACACCATCAGCGACAACGAATCCTTCAACTTCGTGTTCAATCTCTTCTGCGGGGTATACCCGACCCAGACCAAACTCGGATCGGATGGCCCAAAACTGATTCAGAACTGGTTGGTGGCTCAGCTCGCTCCAATTTTAACGCTCGGCCTTCCCAAAATCTTGAGCCTGGCCGAAGATCTCCTTCTCCACACTTTCCCCATTCCTCCCTTTCTGGTCAAGTCAGCCTACAACAAAGTCTACAACGCCGTTTCTGGGTCGGCAACCGAGGCCTTAGACGAAGCGGTGCGTTTAGGCCTCCAAAGAGACGAGGCAGCTCATAACTTGGTGTTCGTTTTAGGGTTCAACACTTTCGGAGGGGTTAAGGTTATGTTCCCGACCATCATGAAGTGGGTCGGATTAGCCGGCGAGGGTCTACACAAGAAGCTCGCCGACGAGATCAGGACCGTCGTTAAAGCAGACGGTGGGTTGACACTAGGGTCATTGGATAAGATGAGCCTGACCAAATCAGTGGTGTGGGAGGCCCTGAGGATTGAGCCTCCGGTTCCGTTCCAGTACGGGAAGGCGAAGAAGGATTTGGTGATCCAGAGCCATGACGCGAGGTTTGAAATAAAGAAAGGAGAGATGATATTCGGGTACCAACCGTTGGCTACGAGGGACGCGAGGGTGTTCGAGAGAGCCAATGAGTTCGTGGCAGAGAGGTTTGTCGGGGAAAAAGGGGAGAAACTGTTGAAGTATGTGTACTGGTCGAATGGGCGCGAAACAGAGGATCCTAGCACGGAGAACAAGCAGTGTGCGGGGAGGAATCTGGTGGTGCTATTAGGAAGGTTATTGCTTGTGGAATTCTTCTTGCAGTACGATACGTTCAGTATTGAAGAGAAGACGTCAGTTCTTGGACCAGCCATTGCGATCAAGTCGTTGACCAAGGCCACCAGCTTCTAATCATATTATCCTCCACTATTACTATTTTCTCGCGGAGCTACATTATTGTGATGTGTACGCGCTTTAATTACACCTTTGTTTTTGTGAAGTTGTGGTTGCTCTGCGATATGTCGTGCCCAGAAAATCAAGGAGGGTATAAACTTTGTCAAAGGATGCTTGGCGCATGTTTAATTTCATTTCTGCCTTCGAAACTGTTTGTGTTTTAGTACATCTATTAGTTATAGTTTGCTCGTAAAGATTCGAACCTTAATTTGGTTATATCTAATTTTGCTAGACCCAACTATCATCTACTTGTTTGTCATTAGATTCTCAGACTGTTGATAAAGATGGGCTCAAAACTATGGGCCTAAGCATGGCCCACGTGAACAATGGATCATAACTTTTAATTTCAGTATATTGGACCAGCATAGAGTTTATCCAAAGAAATGGAAGAGCCAACAATGATTAGTTGAAGATCCATTCTAACTCGCCTTTGCTTGAATGCATGATAACTGGGCCAACCTACATCATTTAATCTTTACAGAATTAAAAGATAGGCCCATATTGGTTCAAAGTCCTCCAACAGCGTCATATATGTGGGTTTATGTCAGATCCCATTCATCCCCACTCCAAAACCTAGTGGCTCAACGAAAGAGAATCCTTTACGGTCATTCAAACCATAATTCTGTAGCAAAGTGACACAGTACAAAAGGATTTTGCGTGTGAGATTCATATCTTATAATTATACTTTTTTTTTATATGGCTTTGTGAGATTTAACATTATTGGGCCGGATGCCAGCATTTATGTTGACTCGAATCCAAGACCTCATATTTAAGTCACCATAAAATACTTCTGACCAAGACCAACTCTTGCAAGTTATAATTATAGGTTTTTTTTTTTAATTTCCTTCATTTCTTATTCCAAATGCATTCATTTATATGACAAATGAGGACTCAAAACTTCAAGGTAATCCTAGTGGCTCCACTATGATAGTGGAACAAAGTAAAATGACAAGGGAGAGAAACTCTTTATCTATTGTTTCTTGAATTAGAATCCAGTGAATTGTCTAATTTCACTTGTTCAATGATTGTTTCATATAACACAATAACAACCTTTCAATTTAATCAAATGGTTGTAAAAGATATTTCATAGTGAAGAGTGTTTTGATTGTAAAAATTATTTTTAATTTTTGAAAAAAAATATATCTTAATAATTTTTAATTATTGCTAAAATTCAATAACTGTAATTGTAAATGAATTTAGGTCATTTACTGAATCTAAAATCTTGTTTTCCTTAGGCCAGCATTCATTGTTAGAATATATGAACGCTGTAGACTTGAGGGTTAAGTCAAAATTTTTGAAAAGGCATGGTATATAATCTAACTAATTAATTCTCATATCATTCTTTAAGTTCTATGAGTTACGAAACCATTCATTAAAGGTTCATAGTTAAGTAACTTTTAACACATCACTCTCATTAAGTATTACTCCATTCGTTTAAAAATATAAAGCATTTTTTGAAGAGTTTGATGTTAAAAAATGTAAGGCATTTTTAGTATTTCGAGGTATTGTCATTGCCTTTTTTCAAAAATGCCTCTCTTGATGATGACTTTATATTTATTATAGGGTATTTAATAAAGGTAAATATAAAAAGATAAGGTTAGTTGAAAAGTAGATAACTATTTTATTGAAGGTGAGATTAGATTAAAAATGCATTACATTTTTTAATGAAGGGAATAAGTAATATAACTAGTTCACTCTAACTTGTGATATATATAGTTGGTATTAAGTAGAATTCAAGTGGTTTTAGGACCCGTTTGTTTAAGATTAAAAAATAAGTGATTTTTAGATAGTTTAGAAATTTTATAAAAGAGATTTATTTTGTAAAGATTTTATAAAAAGCATATATTATTTTATATTCGGTTACAATAATAAAAAAGTGATTATTACTTATTATTTTTGAATTTTATGATATTATCTTTAATTTTTGTTTTATAAAAATAATTTATTTTTATATTATTTTAAAAATATATGATATCTTTGCATATTTCATCTCTTTAAAACACTTTTTCTCATTTACCGTATTAGATTATTTTCAGAAGCTACTCAAAGTAATTTCTTAAAATAATCAGAAATATATTTTTTTTAGATTTTGATTATTTTTAAAAATTTAAACACACATAAAAAAACTCACAAAATAGATCTTTTTAAAAAAATTAAGTTATTTTTCATGAAATAAACTAAAACAAATGGGTCCTTAATTTTTCTAAAAAAAATCTATCAGAAATAATAATTATTACAGGTATTATAACAATATTATACACAGAAGCAGCGCGTGTAGTTGAAAATATATATGAAGTTTTGATAAATCTAATAGTTTTATTATTGAAGTTATTACCACTATTATTTTTTCGGTAGAAATTACAACTATATTATTATTTGAATAGCTTGATTACGTGCTTTTGACAAAATTTAGAATTTATGTCCATCTCATTGATCAATAGACATTTGAATATCCAGTAATTCATGAAGTTTTGAAGAGTTAATTTGAACTAAAAGCAACATGTGTGAACATTGTCAGAGAGTAAAGAAGGAAATCTGAACATTACTTGCCCTCAATGACAAGCAATGTTATGCATATGAAGTGCTCTCTCAGTGTCTTTTTGTTATTTGGTTTGGAATTCCAACATGACAAGGGGAGAGAAAGTGAAGATTTAGGAGAGGTTATGAAACTAAAAACACTTTGTTGGATCAGAATTTCTAATATACCATTCTCTAATGTTTTTTATAATATTCCAACTTTTCAATTCTATTTTTTTTTGTTTTAAATTATTAACTTATGCATAAAATAAGAGATATTTTGATATTTTGAAATTTCAAAAAGGTGAATAACTGTATTTTTTTAAGATTTTTTCAAAAATAAAAGGGTATAATTCTAATATTTTTCTTTAAAAAATTACAAAAAATATAAATCTTTACTATTTTAGAATTTTAAGATATCCAAACGTCTTTTATTTTAAGTTGAATCCAATGATTAAAAAAAAAGCAAAATTAAAAAGTTAGAGTATTACAATGAGTATTAAAGAAGAGTACATTAGATGTCTCTAGCCCTTGATTATGTGGCATGGAGTCTAATCTTTCACTTATAACACACCATTTATTATAGTACATGATTTGGGTTGTTGTATTAAGTTTTAAATTACAAATTAAATTGTCCATATCTTTTACTCATCAATTTCTTTTGGTCATGTGTTAGTCTTGTACCCCGCGCATGGATTACAGCTCTACTATGATTGAAAAATAAGATAACAAGAATTTTTTAACAAAGTATACATAAGCATGCTTGTTTATAATAACCTAAAATTAAGATTATGAAAAAAATTGTAACGCATGCAACGTAGACGAATCTCGTCAGGAGGTTCTATGCTTCGCCAAATATTAGTCTATTATTAATTAAAGTTATGTCTCAGCTCGTGTGTCTAATCTTACATGGCTCCACTTAAAATTAGAAACCACAAAGGAAAGATTAGAATATTTTTTTTAATTTTTAAACGCACATAATTCTTAATTTATTTTTTGAGATTCTTGTTAGAAATCATTCAAGTTGTTATTTGAAAATTATTTTTTTAATTGATCAAAAATCATACTATCATTTATTTAATTTAGCGCGTGTTTGTTTTCTATTAGCAAAAAATTAGTTTATTAAAAATTTATTTGACAAAAATTAGATTAGTGAAAGTCAATTGTTGTAACTAAATTTTTATTTAAATATTTTTTTTTAAATTAAAAGTCAGTTTTATAAACTAGACAATGAAATATACTTTTAAATGTATAATTACTAAAAGAATGGTGATTTATTATTATTTATAATTTTTATTATACAAATATAATATATTTGAAATGTTTAAAAATGTGATAAAAATTTTAAAAACATAAAATTTGATATTTTGAATAATAAAAATAAAAATATAAAGTTTGATATATTGAAAAAAATTATATAATAAATAGTTCAAAATATATTAATAATATTAAAAATTAATATGATTCAAAAAATATATGTGATAATTGTTTTACTAAAAAAATTTAACCAAGTAGACAAACCTCGGTTGGTTAGTAAAAAATTTGTATAATATAAAATTTGATATATTGAAAAAAATTATATAAAAAGTTGAATATACATCAATGCTAAAAATTAATATGATTATTTATTCAATCTACAACAATAAAAACTTACTCTCTAATTATTATTATTTAAATTATTATTATATATATTTAATGAATTAACAATATTTTTAAATAAAAGAATAATATATTAAAGTTGGAGTAATATGGTTAAATAATATGTTACTTTTTAAATTTACTTTTTAAAAGTTTCATCCTCTTACAAATACCAAATATATTTTAAAATATTTTTAGAATGTATTTTTATCTCTTTATTTTTTTTCCCTCGAACACTAAAAATCAAAAGTAATATACAGCAAATGGGCTCTTAATCACCTCAACCTGCTGTGACCATAATTGCATCAAGTTCCTTGTGCTTCCAAGTCTTGAGTTTGTGTGGTCCAGTGCGTAGCGAAGGCAAACTTTCTTTTTTTGGAAAAAAGCGAAGGCAAACTTAAACACGCACGCAGAAAGTAGAATTCTAGCTCTTCAAGAAATAAATGATATCTTTACATTAGAGAGAGTGTGTGATTGAGAGTCCCCACGGCCACGAGCAAGGTAATGGCGTTTTGGATCCAAAGAAATTTTAGTGAATATACGTTTTGAGATCAAATTCAAAAACACCACTCTTAGATGAATAATGTGTAAATGTGACATCTGACAACCATATGTGGACTTGTTAACATTTGAAGACACACACATTAATTAGAAAACCTTTACGTAGTGTTACTTTTTAAAGGTAACTTACAATTATTGTATAAGAAAATATGACATGTGAGAACTTGTAAATACTTGTAAAAATGTGAATATGTTATTGTCAATTGCATAATCTTGTTATTTTTTAGGTTAATTTAAAATTCTATTTTAATTTAAAATTTAACGCTAACAATGTTAAGGTTAAGAAAAAGACACTTTTTAAAATTAATGAATCAAAATGAAAGCTTGCATAAAATTTAAAAACTAAAAAATGTGCATAATCAGCTTTGTTATGTTTTTCTTGTACTTGAATTTTAAAGAGTAAATGCTCAGTTAGGTTTGAACTGTCGTAGAAAATATAAAGTAAACCTATTAATTAAGTAGGGTTAAAATTGAAATTTAAATGACACGTAATGATCCCATGTCGTAACCATTCCCCATTATTTATTTAGCAAGATGGGAACATTGGGATCCAACAAAGATCATGTAATCTCTTGATGTTGATTTTAATTGTGTTATAATATTCTTTCTCTATGTAATCTAAACTATATAATCATAAATGTCCAACATAAACTTTATAATAGCCATGAATTATTTGATTCTTCCTTGTTTTCGGATCCCAACCGAAGAACAAGCATATCATTGATTAACTTTTCCAATAATAAATGGCCATGTGGACCAAATCATCGTGTAATTGACAAATTTTTAAAGCCCCTAGTCTAAATAAGCCCAACCTGGTGTCTTCAACAACTGAGCATCCGAAAAATGTGTTAGTTTAATAAATTGAATGTGCGTGTACCAAAAACAAATAAATTGAATGTGCAGTTTGATCGCAATACCACAAAAAATTATTTACCATTATCCTATTGATTCAAAAATATTTCCCCGATGCTGCAAATTTGAATATTAGTTTGTGCCACACCAAAATCTAATGAATGACAACTAGGTATCAAAATATTAAATTAAGAATAATAAAGTTTTAGACAATTTTTTGAAAAAAAAAGTTAAAAATATCTATTCAGATAATTATAAATCTAAAAATTTTAATTTTAAATAAATATTTAAATATTAAATGTAACTTTTAAATTATAACATAAATTTTTATTATTAATTATTTGAATTGATATTTATAATTTATGTTTAGAAAATTTTATAATGAAAACAGAAAGTGACAGACGTAGCATAGGAGGCCACGCCTGTGGCCTGCCAGTCTCATAGCACCCCACTTCCCTCCACCATAACCATTGCGGCCTGCGTGATATATCATATAAGTATGTGATATAATGTAATATTATGCAAAGATAGCATATTTGTACCCGTCAAACCTGATTCAGGGTACATTAAATCTTAATTTTTATTTGAGCAAACATAAAACTAAGACGAAGACACATTTCGTCAATTATTCTGAATTAAACTTCTCCCTCAACTAGAAATTGTGGCTGTTCATGTGCATGTTCCCAGTAATAACTGTAGTTGACACTATTTGACAGTAACTCACGCGGCCTACCAGCTATTTAAGTGCCCACCAACTCCATTATCAACACATGCTTGCTTTTGGCAGAAATAGAATACACTCTTAAGATAATCTTCAGAGGAATCTCTGGCCATCACCCGTTACGTATTCTCACAACAAACAATGGCTTCTTCTTCACGTTCACACACTTCTTCCAAGCTTCCACTGAAACCAATACCTGGAGATTGTGGCCTTCGCTTCTTCGGAGCCATTAGCGACAGACACGATTACTTTTACAGACAAGGCCGTGACAAGTTCTTCTCCTCCAGAATCCGAAAGTACAACTCCACCGTTTTCCGTACAAACATGCCTCCCGGCCCTTTCATTTCCTCCGATCCCAGAGTTGTCGCCGTGCTCGACGCCATCAGCTTCCAGATCCTCCTCGACAACTCCAAGGTCGAGAAACGCAACGTCCTCGACGGCACCTTCATGCCCTCCACTGCCTTCACCGGCGGCTACCGTGTCTGCGCCTTCCTCGACACCTCCGAACCCTCTCATGCTCTCCTCAAAAGCTTCTACCTCCACCTCCTCGCTTCCCGACACGACAGCTTCATCCCGCTCTTCAGTGGCTGTCTGTCGGAGCTCTTCCATGAGCTAGAAGACAAATTCTCGGAGAAAGGTCAAGTCAGCTTCAACACATTCAACGATAAAATGTCCTTCGACTTCGTGTTCCGCCTCCTCTGCGGGCCAAACTCGGACCCCAAGAATACCATACTCGGATCGAACGGCCCGAAACTCTTCCAGAAATGGTTGGCTGTACAGCTCGCTCCCCTAGGCACGCTTGGGCTTCCGAAGATATTCGACTACCTCGAAGATTTCTTGCTTCGAACGCTGCCTTTCCCTGCGTGGATCGTGAAATCAGATTACAAGAAGCTTTTCGACGTATTCTCCACGGCTGCATCGGCAACGCTGGACGAAGCGGAGCGTTTTGGGCTCAAAAGAGACGAAGCTTGCCATAACCTGATCTTCATGGCGGGCTTCAACGCTTACGGTGGGCTCAAGAGCCAGTTCCCTATACTGATGAAGTGGGTGGGATCCGCCGGAGGCAGCCTCCACAAAGAGCTGGCCGACGAGATCAGAACCGTTGTGAAGGCGGAAGGAGGGATCACTTTTGCAGCGCTGGAGAAGATGACTCTGACCAAGTCAGTGGTGTACGAGGTCCTAAGGATTGAACCTGCAGTACCGTACCAATACGCTAAGGCGAGGGAGGATCTGGTAATCCAATCCCACGATGCAGCGTTTGAGATAAAGAAAGGAGAAATGATCTTCGGATATCAGCCGTTGGCGACTAAGGATCCATTGGTGTTCGTGAATCCTGAGGTATTTGTGGGCCATAGGTTTGTTGGGGAAGGAGAGAAGCTGCTCAAGTATGTGTATTGGTCGAATGCACGAGAGACAGAGGAGCCATCAAAGGATGACAAGCAGTGCCCGGCAAAGAATCTGGTGGTGCTGCTGTGCAGGGTAATGCTGGTGGAGTTCTTCTTGAGGTACGACACGTTTACGGTGGAGATTGGCAAGAGCAGTTCCAATCTAGGAGCATCAGTGACATTCACTTCGTTGATTAAATCTAGCCGCTGAATGTGGTTGGTCCCCTCCGATATATTGTTCCCTTTGCTACTTTCACTCTTTGTTCGTAATGTTGTTTTGCATGCGACAGGCAACGTGGTACCGTGGAGATGAGTGTGTGAAGTTCTTGAAGCATGATGTATAGGGGATTGCGGAGACATATTATTTATTTGCCACGAGTGATTTATTATGTTGGATTCAGTATGATTTTGTATTTTTAATTTTTTTTATATATATGCATAATGAAGCTTGGCTCAAAAAGAGTCCAGGAGCCCCCGTTTCCCCAAGTTCATGGCCGGTAAAAATTACAGCTATTAGTCCAGCTAAAAATCGAAAGTCACGATAAAAAATACTGTTTCGTATACATAGAATAGATTTTTTTCTGAAACAAGTTGAGGATTAGCAAAATTGTAAGAGATGAATAAATTAAATCCTGTAAACTAGAGAGAGCAAAGTATAGAAAATTAAGAAATAGATTTTGGAAGGGGAGGTTGTTCAAATTAAATAATATGAAAATTAATAAAGTAGAAAAGCCGAGCTCCCCTCATTGTCCAAAATTTGCTGACTAGTAATTGGTTCAATGAATGTAAGTTCAAAATAGATGGCTCCATTTAAAATGACTCAAGCATGGTTGGTGGGGACAGAGAAAAGGAACGAGAAAAATGTTGATTTCATTGAGAATGAAAAATTGTAGGATAGTCGTGGCGACGCTTTTTTTAGAAAAAACAAATTTGAATTTGAATTTTCGTCCTTTTAATGTAATTATCACTTGTCCCACATGTCCTGGCCGGGACCAGAAACGCGGTTGCGGGGGAGTTAATGGAGACACAAGTGGTCCTCCCTCCCATCAAATTAGCCTCCTTTATGTGGTATTTTGGTACAAAAAGAATCAAACGAAATGGGAAGAGAAATAAAAAGAAAATATTTTTAGTGGATCAGGAATATTTTCCGTGCTCTCTGGAATACCAAAATGTAGTTTATGCTTTGATTCTACAGGTAAGAGAGTTCTTTTAACTTAAGTATGAGTTTTGAATTCAAAGCTTGAAAATGAAACAACACTGGTGCTGCCAATTTGATTTGAATTAGTTTGAGCCATTGTTAAATTTTCTCAACACGATATGTGGGTCAGCACTATTGTAAAAAGAACTTTTTATGTCGATCATTAAGAAGAGTTAAAAAAATATATATAAAAAGTCAAATTTTTATGTTAGATTTTCACAGAAAACTAATGTTAAATGTTTTTTAATATCAGTTTTCTAAACAACCATTATTGTGAGTTTTTTTTTTTTTTACATATGAAACTTAAACTTGTAAATTACATAAAATATACAGGAACTAAAAATAGCTAGTTAGCAAAATCAATTATTATATAATAAGTTATAACTATCACTTTTGTTAAAAAAAAAAAACTTAATCTGAACTTGTTAAAATAAGTCATGTAAATCAGTTTAGATACGTGAAATAAGTCATCTAAATCAGTTTATATATGTGAAGCCAGTTATACAATTGATTTAGAATAAGTACATTCTAAACCGGTTGTGTACCGGTTTAGATAAAGGTTTAGGAAAAAGATTTTAAATTTTTTAATTTTTAAAAAAAGTTACTTCTAAACTAGTTATTATGTCACAACTAGTTTAAATATTATTTAGATATCAATGATATCTAAATCGGTTATAATGTCATAACCGGTATAGAAACTATGTTTTCTTTAAAAAAAATTCATTCATTTATTCATTTAACCCAATCATGATATGTTGTAAATTTACAGATTAAAAGCAATATATACATATGGCTAGCCAAAATACAATTCAATTTAATCAAATTAATTGTAAAATATTTACAATTTCCTTTAATTTTCAATATACAAATGAGTTCAATAATTTTTTTAAGTTAATTATACCTATCCTAAACTCATTCTTTCAATGGATTATTATTATGAAGTTCTAACATAAATAGTCCCCAATGTCTTTTAATTTTTTAGATCTCTAATTGTGGAAATGGAAACGAATTATTGAACATATGAAAAGATCAAAGATAAGAAATTTAACTTAGCAATTCAAAGTAAAAAAAATATATTAGACTTCTAAAATTAGATTTACTTCTTTAGTAAACTTTGTCAAGCCGATCGTGATGATGTTGTACATGTGTTTCAATACATAAAAGTTGCACAAGTTAGTAGGGCATTGATAGTGGCTCTGTAGATTAATACAACATTGTCAAAATTAAATTAAAAAAAACCTCTATCATCAAAATTACACAAAATAAAAACATGCATGTATTAATTGCCTTTGATGTTGTCTATGTAGGATCCTTGACATCATATGGAGCCTTGCCCAATCGGATGTACTAGGCAATCCTCATAGCCTTATCCAATATCACATAATTAGTAACTTAATCACGGAGAATAATGTATTACGAAGATAGACTTAGTGCTTGTAAGATTTCTTCATTACCGGATTGAGCTTACAATGTAGAGAGCATAAAAGAAGATAGAATTTCTCTTCATCAAAAACACTATCAATTGCCAATGTGTATTGCAATAATAATAATAATAATAAAGTGACTTTAGCAATTTTTCAATACTATAATGAACAAATTCAAACATGTTTACTTATAGATGGAGAAACATGAAAAAATAACACTCCTTGCTGCCTTTATTAAGCTTTTGATTTATGTATTCCTCCTTTGTCTCTTTAGTGATCTCCTTATCATTAGTGTAATGTGGGCAAAGAAAATCATATTGTTTGTCTTTGTTTAAGGAAACCAACTTTTGATACAAAACCAATGATAATACAAACAAGTTAGTTCTAAGAGCTTAATTATTTAATTTTATTTAAATTTACACTTAGAATAAGATACTTATATCATCACAATTTGAATAATCATCATGGTTTAGTCACTATTAATGAGATTAGATCCTCATTCTCAATAAAAAATTTTATAGTTATTTGTGCCAATAAGGTCAAGAACTGCTTTAAAAACTCAACTCACACAACTAGATTTTTCCACCCACTTTATTGAATAATGAGTTCTCTATACTTGTCAAGTTGGATGGACAAAATTACTTACTATGGCAATGCATTGTCTTGCCAATCATTCAAGGACACCGATTGGAAAGTTTTATCAATAGTACCTCTCAATACCTTGACGAGACTCTTACCAAAAGTGATATAGTCAGTTACAATCCTGCATTCAATGATTAGATCTCCACCGACCAATTGCACCTTAGCAATTAGTTGTATACAATGTTGACACTTGAAGTTACAGCTCAGCTTGTTCATTGTTCCTTATCTGCTGAACTCCAACAAGTGACTAAGGAACTCAGGTTCTCACACTCAAGTATGTGTTACTCTCCTACAGAATAACCTTCGATAGACTTATAAACGCTTGATGACCATGGATGACTACCTTGCAAAGATGAAATCCATCTCAGAAAACTTACACCTTACTGGTCATCCTCTTTCTTCTAATGATCTCACTTCTTAAGTACTTTCAAGTCTTGATGTTAATTACAACCCCATTGTGTGTCACCTGCTTGAGAAATATTATATAAATTAAGTAGAATTGCAAGCTACTTTATTGACATTTGAGTCTTGTAACATCCTGATTTTTTTATATAATAAAGAAATTGTGGAATTTAGGTTTTGAGAAAAAAATGATAATAATAGGAATTTATATTATTTGAGATTATTTAGAAATAATATTATGGTTAGGTATTTAATTATGAATTTAAAAATTTAAATTTAAAACCACATAAGTAATATTTAGTTAAGATATAATACATAAATAATTTTTTTTATGTATGTGTTGAAAAAAAAAAGAGAAGGTAGAAGGAACAAAAAAAAAAGGGGGTGGAAGGTTGTTGTTTCTAAGTCCCACATTGGTTAGATGAGGGAAGAGAAGAGGTGCCTTCATGTATAAAAAGGAGGGGGTGTGTGCATTAGGAAGCATGAGAGGCTAAGATGCAATTTAGAGAAAATTGCAACTTTTGGCCCAAAGGTTTGAATAATTAAATTCAAACCTATAGTTTTTTTTAATATAATTTTGGGACTCACAATCCCATTTTTATATTATTTTTCTCTCTTCCTCTCACGTTGCTCGGCGTTTTCTCACAAGGGGGGATTATTTTCTTTTTCTTCAGGTATGTTCTAACTTTCCTGTTTAGATTAGCATTTAAAAATTTATTTAATTACAAAATTAATTTTATAGTTATTTTCTAAATAATATTAGCTTTCTAGTGATATGATTATTTTGTAGGATAGAGTAAATATTTTGATTAGGATTTTTCTATAGGATAGTTAATCTGATGATATGATGGATTAAAAATATAGGTTAAAATTCTTAGGGATATAATAAATATTATAGAATATTTTTTTGAGGTTGAAACTCATGTTTAAGAATTTTTGAGTTAAAATCTAGATCTATATGGTTGAATTTATGTGGAATCTGAGACGTAGGGATAAACCTATGATTATTAAATATTTATTTAAGTATGAATAGGTATTTTTGAGGTTATAGAAAGGTGATTTGAGGCTTCAGGATAATTCTAAAATTTTTAATTTATTTTTGGATGAATTTTTAGAATGTAGAAGGATGAAATTGTGATACTAGAAGTGAATTGAGGATAAAAAAAAATAGTTCATTAGGGTACGAGAATTTTAGAAAAGAATTTGAAAAGTTAAATGAGGCATAAATCTTAAATTAGTGTTAATATGGACTATAGATTTAAGACTTTCTAACTCTTTAAATTAGAGTTATTTATTTTAATGTAAAATTAATATATAGTATTATGAAATAATTATGTAGATTATATTGACAAAGATAGTGGTGAAAAAGGAGTTGTGAAGGGGAACTTGTTATTCAAGACACAAGGTAACCATTATTAATGTGTTGTGATGAGTGTGTTTGTGAATGGTTATGTGTTGTTTTGTTGTTTGAAAAAATTATGAATTATTAAAAATAAATACTGTATATACTTGTTTGAAATTATTGCCAAGTGGGTTAAAAATTTATCTTTGTTTATCATGATGAGATATTATTGTTCGGATATATTCCTGTTTGGATATTTGAATGATGCATGACTTGTCAGGGTATTTTAATGTATGGTGTTAATGGGAATTTCTGTTCGGTTAATTATTACCACGTGGTAAGCCCTCATTGGACCCAATGAGTGGCGTGTCGCTTGGTCCAACTCACCTTTGGCCGGGTGATTTGGCATTCGAGCATGGCGAAAGGAGGATATAAGGTGCAGTCATGCAAATTAAATACTTGTTCGGTTTGTTTGAAAGTATTGTTCGGTTAAATGTTTTGTGTGCCCACTTAGCAATCGCATGATTAGTTACATCCGCATGCATCATTACATATTAATTTTTGGTTACTGGGACTTTTAAGTCTCATTCCCCGTGGTTAATATTTTTACAGGAGCGAGTCCGGCCGAGAAAGCACCAGAGGTGTAACTGTGGTGTATGAGACACCATCTTTTACGTTGCCTCTTATTTTGGATTATACAATGTATCTTGTGCCAACTTAGGACATATCTTGTCTATGGAGCATGTAAACTCTAATCCTTTTTATTAAATGCATTTATATGTCCAAGAGGATTATGTCTGTCCCTTTTGATTCATGACCTAATTTAAATAACATGCTATGAGGATCATGTCTGTCCCTCATGGTTCTAATTGCTTTTTGAGATATTTTAAGACCTGTGGTATATTGTCTTGGATGTATCATGGTAGAAATTTTTCTACCATGATAATGGTTTTAATAACTTGCGAAAAATCGGTGTGTAAACTTGAGGGTGTTACATATTGGTATCAGAGCATATAGTCGGTTGGCAATATACATTGTTATGGTGCTTCTCATTGTATGGCCATGATATAGCTAGGCTAATTTTATTATTTATATCTTGTATCCTTTAGGAGGGGAGAGAAAATGCCTGTTACTCGTGGTAACTCAGGATTCCAACATGAGCACCTACCACCGCCACTGCCAAATGAGGAGCCTGACTTGGCGGAATTGAGAATGCTTGTAAAAACATTAACAGACAAGGTTCAAGGATACGAACAAGAGTTGACGGAGCTAAAGAGGCAAAAGGTAACTGAAAATGGAGATAGGGCTCATGTTGAGAGTCATGTGGGGGAAGGCAGTTCCTCACATCCTGCCACTCTGAGAGATCATGAGTCTAGAAGGAAGGAAATTAGGCAGGAGGAACAGAGAGCCCCACCGACCATTACTGATGTGTGGGAAACTGTTAGGAAGTTTAACCCTCCTACGTTTGATGGTAACCTTAAACCATCCGTGGTAGAGGAATGGGTGAAGAGACTCGAATCCATCTTTTGAGTAGTCACATGCACCAGCAATCAAAAAGTACAAGTAGCATTAGTGCTCCTAGTGAAAGGAGCAAGAGATTGGTGGGAGACAGCAGGGCCCAGGGATGATTCTACACTCACCTGGGAGGAATTCAAGGAAAAATTATTTAGGCATTACTTTCCATCAGAGTTAAGGTCTGAGAAGGAAGCGGAATTCCATGCCTTTAAGCAAGGGAACCTCGATGAGGACACATTCATTGCTAAGTTTCAGGAGTTATCTAGATACTCCACGTACCTGCAGTATAGGGATGATTCCGAATGGAAGGCTAAGCACTTATTGGAGAAGGCTAGACCAGAATTGAGGGAACAATTAGCTCATCTAGATATCCGAGATTATGATGAAATGTGCATAAAACTACAAGTAGTAGCTCGCAGTAAGAAGGAGGTCGAGAGAGAGAAGAGGGGTTATTCATATAGTAGACCCCCAACCTACCCTCGACCCACCGGAGGCATTATGAAGAAAAACCATCAGGGTTCGAGTAGCTCATGGAACCAAGGAAGGCAGAAGGGTCCATTTCAAAGGGGCCAAGGACAGAGGAGCTATCATAGTAGTTATCACGGGTCACAGAGGAGCCCAACAGTATCTACACCTGCCCCGAGTACAGCGATCTCTCAACAGTGCACTAAATGCGGGCGTCGTCATTTCGGACAGTGTTGGGTCTGTTACATTTGTGGGAAACCCGGTCACATTGCAAAGTTTTGTGGGGACAACCAGGGCTCAAATATGAAGAACCCTTCCCAACATCCTACTGTCTCTGGCCGTGTGTTTGCTCTTACTCAGGACACCATGAACTCCCCAGATGCCATTAGAGGTAACATCAAAATCCTTCATCATGATATTGTTGCACTATTTGATTCGGGTGCTACACACTCTTTTATTTCTGAAACTTGTGTAAAGGACCTTGATTTGCCTGTGTGTATTTTACCTTTTGATATGAATGTGTCTACTCCTGCGGGAGAATCTGTAAGGACTGCTAAGGCATGCCTTAACCTAGTAGTCGAGTTTAAAAATAGGAAAACAACTATGGACTTAATTATCCTACCACTGAGAGGTATGGATGTAATTGTGGGAATGAATTGGATGGCTGCAAATGGTGCTATCCTAGATTGTAGAGAGAGGAGTGTGTCTTTATCTTCTTTATCGGTGACCCCAGTCGAGACTCAAGATCATGTTTTCTTGTCGGCGGCGCAAGTTGATAGATGTATGAAGAAGGGTTGCCAGGCCTACATGGTTTTCTTCTCTATCCAAGCTGAGATTGATGAAGGCGTGAAGAATATCCCAATTGTCAAAGAATTTGCGAATGTATTTCCAGACGAAGTCTCCGGTTTACCCCAAAGCGCGAGGTAGAGTTCTCAATTGAATTGGTACCCGGTACAGGGCCAATTTCTAAGGCTCCTTATCGGATGTCCCCTTCAGAGTTAGCGGAACTGAAAAAGCAAATTGAAGAGCTACTTGAGAAGGGTTCATCAGACCGAGTGTTTCACCTTGGGGATCTCCAGTCCTTTTTGTAAAGAAGAAGGACGGAAGCCTCCGATTGTGCATTGATTATAGACAATTGAACAAAGTAACCATCAAGAACAAATATCCACTTCCGAGAATCGATGATTTGCTGGATCAGCTTGTGGGATCCGCAGTTTTCTCAAAGATTGACTTAAGGTCAGGGTACCACCAATTGAGAGTGAGAGCAGAGGATATACCTAAGACAGCATTTCGGACGAGATATGGGCATTATGAATTCATGGTGATGCCGTTTGGACTTACGAATGCTCCTGCGGTATTCATGGATTACATGAATAGGATCTTTCGACCCTATTTAGATAAGTTTGTAGTAGTGTTTATTGATGACATTCTTATTTATTCAAAGGATGAGGAGGCTCATGGTGAACATTTAAGAATCGTCTTGCAAGTTTTGAGGGAACATAAGCTTTATGCCAAATTAAACAAGTGTGAATTTTGGCTCCAAGAAGTAAAGTTTTTGGGCCATGTTGTGTCCAGAGACGGAGTTGCGGTGGATCCTAGCAAGATTGATGCAGTGATGAAGTGGGAACAGCCAAAATCTGTTACAGAGATACGAAGCTTTTTAGGTTTAGCAGGTTATTATCGTCGCTTTATTAAGGGATTTTCGCAAATTGCGATGCCCTTAACTAAGCTGACTAAGAAGGATGCCCCATTTATTTGGACTGACAAATGTGAAGCTGCTTTCCAAGAATTGAAAAAGAGGTTAACCACTACTCCAGTATTGACTATTCCTAACCCTGTGGTGCCGTACACTCTGTACACTGATGCTTCTTTAAAGGGTTTAGGATGTGTTTTGATGCAAAATGACCGAGTGGTTGCCTATTCCTCCAGACAGTTGAGACTACACGAGGAAAATTACCCTACTCATGATTTGGAGTTAGCTGCAGTTGTGTTTGCTCTGAAGATATGGAGACACTACTTGTATGGATCTAAGTTTCAAATCTTCAGTGACCATAAGAGCCTGAAGTATTTATTTGATCAAAAAGAGCTTAATATGAGGCAGCGACGATGGATGGAATTTCTAAAGGATTATGACTTTGAATTACATTACCATCCGGGTAAGGCTAACGTGGTAGCTGATGCCTTAAGTAGAAAGACTATTCATGCTGCACATTTGATGGTTCATGAATATCATTTATGGAACAGTTTTCATGATGTTCCAGTAGATGTGATTGAACATCAAATGGCCGCACTCCAGGTAGCAGACTTTGAGAGCAAATTCTGGGAAGATCTCAGAGTCTCACAGCAGAGTGATGACTACTTAAGGAATATAAGGAAGGAGATAGTGGTAGGTAAGGCCCCAAATTTTACCATCTCTGAGGACACAGTGATGAAGTATAAAGGTAGAGTTTGTGTACCTAATGATCCAAGATTGAGGAATATCCTTTTAGAAGAAGCTCATAGGAGCAAATATACAATTCATCCCGGTATAACTAAAATGTACCATGATTTGAAGCGAGGTTGGTGGTGGCCAGGAATGAAGAAAGATGTAACTGAATTTGTTTCTAGATGTTTAACGTGTCAGAAGATAAAGATAGAACATCAGAAGCCAGCTGGAACACTGCAACCGTTAGATATTCCAAAGTGGAAATGGGATGATATTTCCATGGATTTCATCACTGGACTGCCAAGAACACCCTCGAGTAAGGATGCTATTTGGGTGATAGTAGACCGACTCACCAAATCAGCTCACTTTTTGGCGATCAAGTTTACCTCTACATTAGAGAAATTTGCTGAGATATACATTAAGGAGATAGTTAGACTTCATGGTATACCCTCTAGAATTGTGTCAGATCGTGACCCAAGGTTCACTTCAAACTTTTGGGGTGCGCTACAGAAGGCTATGGGTACCAGACTGAGTTTTAGCACCGCATACCACCCCCAAACAGATGGACAAACAGAGAGGACGATCCAGACTTTGGAGGACATGTTGAGAGCTTGTGCCATTGAACTACCAGGTAGTTGGGATAATCATTTGCCATTAGCTGAATTTGCTTATAATAACAGCTATCATTCTAGTATTGGGATGGCGCCTTATGAGGCCTTGTATGGAAGGAAGTGTAGATCGCCTTTGTGTTGGACAGAATTAAGTGAGAGGAGTATCATTGGTCCAGAAATTGTAGAGCAGACCACCCAGAAGATTGCAATGATTAAGCAAAAATTGCTAACAGCTCAGAGTCGACAGAAGAGCTATGCTGATAAGAGAAGACGGCCGTTAGAGTTTGAAGTAGGAGATCATGTATTTTTGAAGGTTTCTCCGGTGACAGGCATTGGTAGATCCATTAAGGCAAAGAAGTTGACACCTAGATTTATGGGCCCGTATGAGATCTTGGAGCGAATTGGACTGCTGCATATAGAGTTGCATTGCCTCCACAGATTGCAGGTATCCATAATGTATTTCACGTATCACAGTTGAAGAAGTACAACCCGGATCCCTCCCATGTTATTGAACCTGAAGAAGTAGAATTGAGGGAGAATTTGACCTTTAGATCCGAACCGGAGCGAATTGAGGACTTTAAGGACAAACAACTGCAATAAGACCATCCGACTCGTGAAGGTGATTTGGAAGGGTGGAGCCCTAGGTGATGCTACTTGGGAAACCGAGGAGAGTATGAGGCGAGATTATCCACATTTATTTGCTTAGGTACATAGTTTCTATGCTTATCTATTAAATTTTGAGGACAAAATTTCTAAAAGGAGGGGAGAATTGTAACATCCTGATTTTTTATATAATAAAGAAATTGTGGAATTTAGGTTTTGAGAAAAAAATGATAATAATAGGAATTTATATTATTTGAGGTTATTTAGAAATAATATTATGGTTAGGTATTTAATTATGAATTTAAAAATTTAAATTTAAAACCACATAAGCAATATTTAGTTAAGATATAATACATAAATAATTTTTTTTGTATGTGTTGAAAAAAAAAAGAGAAGGTAGAAGGAACAAAAAAAAAAGGGGGTGGAAGGTTGTTGTTTCTAAGTCCCACATTGGTTAGATGAGGGAAGAGAAGAGGTGCCTTCATGTATAAAAAGGAGGGGGTGTGTGCATTAGGAAGCATGAGAGGCTAAGATGCAATTTAGAGAAAATTGCAACTTTTGGCCCAAAGGTTTGAATAATTAAATTCAAACCTATAGTTTTTTTTTAATATAATTTTGGGACTCACAATCCCATTTTTATATTATTTTTCTCTCTTCCTCTCACGTTGCTCGGCGTTTTCTCACAAGGGGGGATTATTTTCTTTTTCTTCAGGTATGTTCTAACTTTCCTGTTTAGATTAGCATTTAAAAATTTATTTAATTACAAAATTAATTTTATAGTTATTTTCTAAATAATATTAGCTTTCTAGTGATATGATTATTTTGTAGGATAGAGTAAATATTTTGATTAGGATTTTTCTATAGGATAGTTAATCTGATGATATGATGGATTAAAAATATAGGTTAAAATTCTTAGGGATATAATAAATATTATAGAATATTTTTTTGAGGTTGAAACTCATGTTTAAGAATTTTTGAGTTAAAATCTAGATCTATATGGTTGAATTTATGTGGAATCTGAGACGTAGGGATAAACCTATGATTATTAAATATTTATTTAAGTATGAATAGGTATTTTTGAGGTTATAGAAAGGTGATTTGAGGCTTCAGGATAATTCTAAAATTTTTAATTTATTTTTGGATGAATTTTTAGAATGTAGAAGGATGAAATTGTGATACTAGAAGTGAATTGAGGATAAAAAAAATAGTTCATTAGGGTACGAGAATTTTAGAAAAGAATTTGGGAAGTTAAATGAGGCATAAATCTTAAATTAGTGTTAATATGGACTATAGATTTAAGACTTTCTAACTCTTTAAATTAGAGTTATTTATTTTAATGTAAAATTAATATATAGTATTGTGAAATAATTATGTAGATTATATTGACAAAGATAGTGGTGAAAAAGGAGTTGTGAAGGGGAACTTGTTATTCAAGACACAAGGTAACCATTA